GGTCGTGGGGCGTCGACCCCGAGTGCATCAAAGATGTCAGCTATAAACTAACTCTGGGCGGCATTTACGCCGGCGTTATACTACCCCTTGTGATCGTTATATTGCTATTTGTCGTGTGTTGGCGCCGCCAGCGTAAGGTTAGGGATAAGTATTATCCCACACCTGAAAAGGACTTTCAAATAAGTGGCGTCAAAGTAGACGATCAGTCGTCAGAAAGCTTTCTGAATACCGGCGCCGAATCTCATGATAAAAATAGTGCTGCCGATAGTGATGAGCCCACACCCGCTAAGTCGGCTATGGTATAGCACATTATATTTTTGAGTATTCATCAATTTTAATTTCTATGTGTTTTTGTTCAATTACTTTAATCAAAGTTGAACATTTTTATTTATGTTACAAATATAATGTATAATTAAATTTTTGTCTTTTGATATTCATATATTGATAACATTTTCCTTAAATACATAAATGTATAGTATTTTAATAAATATAAATATTAATTTAATGTTAGTATTTTAATAAATCTACAATAATCTGTTAAATACAGTGATCTCCTTAAAATGAACAATAATAATAGTGTAAAAGCATGTGTTAAAGCATTGTACATAACAGTATAGTTAACTATTTTATATCAAGTTTATTAAAAATAAGTGAACGGCTTATCTAATAGTAAGTCTCCCTTTCAATCCAACCTCCCGGACACTTTCTCATCATAAGTTTGCGGATCTCGTCGTAACAAAATAGTGCCAAAGAAAAGGGCACCGCTGTGAACCACCATGACCATCTATCATAAATAAACGTGTTCATTTAAAATAAACATTAAACATTAGACATTTGTTGTCATTAAAAATGTTTTGATCCGTACTTTAATGGATACATATTAAGACCACTTTCCAGTCCGGGACAGTAGGACAGGAACAATGCCAGACCCAACTCGAAAAACAGGGCAAAAGTAAGCACATGGTTCCTGATATCAAACATAAATTGTATGTTATAAAAAGCGAATAAGAAAACAATGAATGGTTAACATTACTTCATGCCCTGTTGAAAGATGGACAGGCGTCGGGTCTTACAACAGACCAGAGCAGCCCATTTGGTGATGACGACCGAGGCAAAAAATGCGGTGTGACACGTGTACTCCAGGGTCTTTCGTTGATGGTAAGTCTGGTTATGCGTGTCAAAGTAAATAGACATAAATACTTTAGATGCATAAATACTAATTGCTAAATGTTTTTTAATAGAGGCAATTATTACCCATTCCTGTCCGTAAGAGTCAGTGAGTGAGTTAATGGCCCGGGAGTCCCATTTGTTTCGTATGCCAAAGAGATCCCAGGGCTGGAAACCATTCTCACTCATAATAACAATGTATGTGAAAAAGCCGGCAAACGCTTGAAAAAAGCCCATTTGGCCGTAGGATATAGACACCAGTCTAGTAGAGGTGAGTTTAGCAACAAGTTTAATAAAACAGCCACCAAATTACTAGTAATACATTACCTTTCGGTAACCAAATGGTCCTGTTTGGGGTTACGGGGTTTGCGTTTCATAATATCACTCTCTGGCCCCTCGTAGGCCAATGAGATGGCCGGCACCATATCGGTGCCGAAGTCGATGCACAGTATGGTTATGGCGCCCAAAGCCAACGGTATATTGAGACAGAAAAAGGCCACAAACGGCAACATTTCGGGCATTTTGGAGGACAGTGTGTAGCAAATGGACTTTTTCAAGTTGTCAAATATAACGCGTCCCTCTTCTATGCCCGTCTCGATCGATGAGAAGTTGTCGTCCAGAAGTATCATATCTGCCGCCTGTTTCGACACATCGGAGCCGGCGATACCCATCGCTATACCGATGTCGGCCTTTTTGAGCG